GAAAAGAGTCAATTATCAAACAACTCTGCAGTAAACACCAGTTCCAGCGAAGAAACTCCTTATCACTTATCTTTCCAACATTTTCAGTGTGGACTGATATATAGGTGCAATACATTACGCAAGGGTTTGAGTGTTAATGCTTAATAATTCATTAATAGTGCTGTGGCCGTTGCCAGAGATGAATTCAGGGCGTCTGCCAAGTTCGAAATTTACTTCAGTTATGAGTCAAAACTCAATGTTATTTCCTGCGCACTGACAGTACTCGTCTCCTCCTTAAGGCCTGAGCGGACGATTCATAATCACCTCACTTCCTACTATTTACCAGTAAGTTCTTGTTTCTTATTGCTTCCTCTTTCGTGTGACTGAGATGTATGTACAGCTGCTGCGAAGAGTCTTAAAAGGAAAAATTCTTGTGCCTTTTCACTGAGTTATGTTTACTCAATAACTCTTTTCCTCACCAACTGTCTGTTTTATTCTGAAGTCTCAACTTTTAAAGCATTCTCTTGCTTGAGCCTTGTGAAAATGCAGCTTTTTCTGGTATAAATATTAAAGTAAAAGGAATCCTTTATATGTTTTGTCTTTTTTTGGACAGACAAAGCAAGATATCCAGATCACCTTGGGCTGTAGGAAATTATTAATGTTTTTGATGTTATACAGACCAGGAAATTAATCCATTTATTTGAGGAAAAAACAAGCAGGTTCTTTCATTGTCCATTTCATTTGATCTTAAAATGCATTTTAAGTCAAATTGCAAATTTACAATCTTCAGGTTATAGCTTCATGTTTTCACAATGCATATTTGTATCCTGATCTGCAAAAGTCTGACAGCATTCAAGTTAAACACTTTACTGCAGAGAAAACATGTATATTCTGGCCTATTGGCTCCTGTGCGTGTTTTCCTCCCACTATCACAGAAAACATAATTTAGTGTCTTTGTATCTGTGTTTCAGCTGTAAGGATGGCGTCTTCCGGAAGTACCAGGGAGCTCGCACTAAAGACGACTTGCTCAGCTTTGTTGATGAGCAGAAATGGAAAGCAGTTGAGCCGGTTTCGACTTGGTTTGGGCCGTCTTCAATTTTGTGAGCTTAAACCTACAGCTCCTTCTACAAACTGTGTTTACAGGGATACATATGCAAAACATACTAATTGTAATACACAGTATATCAGTATTACAATATGGTTTTACAGTTCTTGGTTGATATCATTCAAAATGTCCTCGTTTTTGAGGTCAGAATTGGCAGAGAGAACAGCAGCTAAGCACTGTAGTGGGCAACAGTCCAGTAATGCTGCATAATTGTTGTTCCTCATTGCTTTGAAATGGCAAAAAATAGCATCAGAAACCTTTCCTGTTAGCTCTGTTCTTGGAGTCTTTCTGCCAGTTTAAAACCAGAACCACAAGCACCCCTGTCTGTCTGTCTGTCTGTCTGTCTTGTTCAGGCTTTGTAGTGATATTATATTTTCTGTTAAATGACATGCTGTCATTTCCTCTTTTGGCAGAATGAATTTGATGTCGGCCTTGTTCAAACTCTCCATGTTTATCCGAGTAAGTGAGGATTTCACTCTTGCCAGCTCTGACTGTCAGTGTGTATGCCATTATACAGGAAGGCATTTATTTCATTTCCCACAGTCCATTCGAAGAAGAACATGTTGCCTGTTGTGGAAATCGGAATGGCTGTCAAGTGCAAAGTGCAATGAATGGAATGAGTCACAAATGTATACTTGATTTTTAAATTTTTTATTTTTATTTTAAGACTCATTGATCTCCTAAAGCGGCTGAGTACTCTAGTTTTTATGTCATGTAACTCGAACAGGAGGACACAGTGCAATTTTTGGGAACTATTTTTAGCTGCAAATTAAAGCCTATTTTGTGTTTTTAATAGTTTTTGGACAAGAATAGAGCTCTGCAGCTTGGAGGAATAGGACATGTCAGGCTTTGTTAGAAGATGCCTGTTATTAGGATCATTTTAATGTTGGTTTTGGTCTTTTGATAATGATTAAGCTGTGTTGACAGTGCATGCTGAAGTGACCCAAATGCAATTTATTTTTGTCCCCTCCAAGTGCGTCTGCACTGATGTGTGAACAAATCAAATCAGATTTTTTTTCCCCCTAAATCCAGTTTGGGCCACTTCCATATGTTGTTCTAGACCTGATTCATATCTGATCTCTGACCATGGGACCACTGTCTGAACAATCAGACCTGAATCCTTCTGTTTTTGCGGGTCTTCCTCCTCTGTGCCGTCGTCACTCAGTGTCGGCTCTTCACAGATTGATGAAAATAAACATAGAGCAGCAATGGTGACGAGGGTCAGTGGAGAGACAAGGACGTTTTGTTTGTTGGACATTTACGGACTGGAGGGAACATATATCCAACTACTTTCTGAGGGAATTTGACTGTTACACATATAAGGTGGTTGTTATTGTTGTTTACATATGGCTCACAGTTCAGTTAAATATGTGCATGCAGTTTAGGACCCGTTTCATTTCAATGACTTCATCATTGTCTTGAAACCTGTTTGTAAAATCAGGTTCCAGACTTCAGATTTGAAATTAAAGCACCTGGGCCACATTAAATCGGCCTGTATGTCTTGGAATATTAGTTTTTGGTGAGCATTAGTGAGAAAATGCTTCTTGTGTACTGTATATTTTTACAGTCTGAATCTAAAATGTTTTTCAGCATTGTCATAACTACATGACTGAGCACCTGGGGCTTCCCGTTTGGGGTTCATATATTATCTTTGGCTTGGCCACTCTGTTCTCCGGCCTCATGCTGGGACTGGTGAGTAATTATGTTACATGTTTTTGTTTTGTTTTTTAAGCAGTTGACAGTGTTGAATATTCCAGTGTTCATCAACAGGCATCAGCTGTGATTTAATGGTACTTATTGCCTTGTGTCCCCAGGTACTGGTGTTTATTGCAGATTTTGTCTTGCCCTCAAGACGATTTTCTTCACCTGATTACTACCAGAGTAAGTTTCATATGAGATTATATTGAATGCTGCCGTGTCAGCCCTCATACATTTGTATTACATAAATAAATGACAGAAACAAAGCCCAGACTACATGTTGGCTTGTTGTCAGATTTAACAGCCACTGATTGCTATTGGGAATGTGACTCTGCAGAGAGACAGACCATGGAACAAGCGAGGTTAATCCAGCGACAAGAGGACGAGCACGAGGCTGATGGCGAGGAAGACGATGATGAAGACGAGGAGGATGAGGATAGAGGCCGGGGTGGGCCCTGGAGAGAGAGAAGAGGGTCCCCCGAGGGCCGCCCTGAACCCAAGGGACAGGGCTTCTCTGATGAAGCTCTGAGGAAGAGGGTGGTGTGCAGCCGTGAGGAGGAAGAGGACACCTAGATTTTGAGCTGGGGTGTCACATGAGCCCCGCTCGCTTGAGAAGAGCACCGTGGAGTCGGCAGAGGCAGAGGAACCTTGGTCCCAAGCAGCAATGTTTACAACAGGGGCTCTAAAACTCCCCTCTGACCTCCCCTTCTCCTCCTCCTGTGGGCCCCCAGAAAACCTCGCTTCTTTTCTTCTTCTTGCCTTGTTTTTAACGAGAGCACTTCAGACTCACCCCACCGTGCTCTCCGCCTAAGCAGCAGGCGCCACCTGGAACAAGCAAAAACTCTCGACACCAGTTTTCACTTGTGGAAATGCCTGGCTGACGAGTGTTTAGGTATAAAGTGCAGTAGAGCGGGATTTTGCAACGTTGTTTATGCTATGCATTGTTTTTTAAAGAGTTGTGTGTTATTACTTGATTAATATAAGAGCAGGCTTGCATTTGGGATTTCTGTTTTACATTTCAGCTAATACATAGTTATTTTATGATGCACGTTTCATGAACCCTGACATCCCAACCCAATAAACAGTGTTCACACACCGTTCCACATACGTACAGTGAATAACAGAGAGACAAGTGACAAGAAATGGCCCCAAAATGTCAAAACACTTCCGATTTCATACGTCTCCCTGTTTCCTGTGAGTCCATTCTGTGTGTGTGTGCGCGTGTGCGTGTGTGTGTGAGATCTAAATCCAACGCAGGAATGTTGGACAACAAAACAAACAATGACATAGTTAATGTGCGTTAATTTAATGGTTGCCTGTCAACTGTATCAAAAGTGTTGGATTTTGTATAAATCATTATTGTGTCATAACGATAATGTACACAGGTTGTTGGTCTTTGTAAAGAGTTGGCGCCTCTTGCCACAGGTGTGTGTGTGTGTCTTGTGGGGCAGGATCCCTCCTTATAGCTTTGCTTAGCAGTCAGCAGCACTAACTTGGGCTAGCTCCTGGCTTGGAGGAGACCAGACCGTGCTAGGTGGGTGTAATTTCTAACAAAGGGGCTCTTCACTCCAGTCTAAAGGTTGTATGTTGTTGTTTGTCATCTCTTTGTCCATTGTTTTATTCCTGACATTTACTTGTGATTCTCTAATTATTAAATGTTTAGAATCCAGCAGAGTTGTCAGCAGGTCTACGACACAGTAGTTGTAATACAGCTATGGCGAGGAACCGTTGAGCTACTCCAGCTCCTAATGCCTCGTCTCCTATGTGGAGGAAGATAAGGCACATCTGTCTGCTACATCCAGGGGGACCTGATGTAATTCAGCCGACTGCAATCTTGATTATTAAAACTGGACTGTAAGTCTAAAAATGTCAAATTAAACATGAACTTCCTGAGGGTAATTTATCTAAATGCTGTTTTCTATACACTGTTTTCCTCATTCATGCGTCTTTCAGACATTATTGTGGCACAGCCTTTGTCCATTTCAGTCTTGATTCAAAAAGGAACAGCTTGGTGTGTATGACCAGTGTGTTAAATCCATATTTCCTTCTGTTTTGACACATCTTCTGCAGGACTTTGATTTTAATGCTGTTTTAGTTCCAAAAAGTTAATTACTCATTTTGGCGATAGTTAAAGCAGGATTTTTATCTGACCACTATTTATGGCTTGTAGCAGCTACATTTACCGAGAACCAGCTGAGCTCCTTAATGTTTAAAGTTTGTTTTTTCTTTTCATTCTTTTTAAAATAAAGGCTCAACTCTGAAAGCGGTCCCCCTTTTTTGGTTTGTGTTACTTCCAATAGTTAACTGACGCGAACCTTCAGTATTTATATTTCAGCAGTGATGCACAAAGGAAATAGAAGAGTCGCTCGCAGCTGTGAACCATTAGAAGTGCAGATGTAGCTGAGACAGCTCCAGGAACATTCTGGAAAAACAAGTACCAAATATTTGCAGAAACACATGCCAGAGTAGCACACTGCATAAGTCAGCACACACTGTAGGAGAGGTATACACTTGGGAAGCTTATTGGTACATCAAGCTAAAGCTGATGGAGTCTAATGCACAAGTCCTACAATAAACCCTTATTTCTGAAGGTTCAGTTTTTGTTCAGACTGTTTTAGAGGCATGTTGGCGATCATGCTGGAGGCTGCACTTTCTGCTGCTGTTGTGTTGCCTTTTATAGAGAGCTGTTTCTGTTGTTCAGCCTGTCCTCGCTGATAAAAATGGGGTGGACAAAATAATAGAAGAATGTTTATTCTGAATTTTTTAAGAAACAGGAAAAGATCTGGTATGTGCATTACTATGAGATGCTATTAGACTATGTGCATAGTCTAAACACTGAAAAACAAATCATTTAAAAAAAAAACATGAAATACACTGTACAGTATTATAGTATTATAGGTCTGTGCCAGTAGATGTCACTCTTGCATCCATTGTGGGTTATGATCAAACCATACTGTGGCCTCCATAGACTAGAGAGGGTGCTCTGGGGATCGTGTGTTTCTCTTCATACCACCTCTGAGTTTAGTTGCCTCATGGCCAGTTGGTGCATCACAGCATTTACACTACAGGATATTGACAGTAACAGTAGTCGCTGTACATTTGTTCTTCTGGGGTTTCTCATTTCCTATGTAGGTAGGTAGATACTTTTTTGATCCCGAGGGAAATTCAGGTATATGTGGACTCTTCTCCAGCTGCTTGAATACTGTGACTCCCCCTGGATTAAGAGGGGATTCTGTCTCTAATCACTGCTGTCACTGCAGCTTGAGTAACCGTCTCCACATGCTCTATTTAGGCTGATCTCCCTGATGAAGGTGTTTGAAGGGATTCCCCTGCTGGAGGACGGCTGCAGGCTGCTCTGATGTCTTGGGGCAGTGAGGTCAGACTGTGTGCACGTGGAAAACACCCAGCAGATGGTTGATACAAGCTCACCTGCAACTGATGCAGCCTCACTGGTTTGATTTATTGAGTGCATACACACATTCCTCTGCACTGCTGTTTTACTGGTCTGCAATGTAAAGTGAAGGCAGATGGCACCACGGCCAGTGTAATCATTAGCTTGCTCTGGTCCACTGGGTTTTTCTTATTGTCCTTGTTTTCACTTTCCCAGAAAAGTTCTCCGTCGGTGCATGCCTGCCGCAGTTCCGTATGAAAACACATTCAAGTTGCATCACTATATTTGTAGGAATTTTGGCTAAAGCCATTTTATTCTCCTTGTTTTTCACCATCTGATTGTCATGGTTGTATGGACTCAGTGCCAGTTGCCCCAGGCTGAAATTTCTCACTGGCTCAGTTGCCCTCAGAGTTCATGCAGATATTGATAGTCACAAGGTGAATTCTACTGCCTTTGGTGAGCCCTTAACTTTTCATCTAGCACCACTATCAGGCTGGTATCTATGAAACAGTGAAACATCTCTGGATTGCTGTGAAATCTGCTAAAGATATTTAGGATCCAGGGAGTAGAAACCCTAATGACTCGAGTGATCCCTTGATGTCCTCTGGTAATATTATCTGACATTAAATGTTAATCTATCCAGGATTTGGCTTTCTGGCCATATACCTGCAAAGCTAATGACATTCCCATCAGCCTCAGCTGTGCTTTGAGCGCAATATTAGTCTGCTTGACAGATTTATGTGAGATGGAGATGAAGGACAGCCCCATCACAGTGATGCCTACTGAGACTGTCAATGAGAATATCACGTGTACCTTCTAAGGTCATTGGTGGATGAAGGAGTTAGATTTACTTAAAACCATGTTGAAATAAATACAGTTTTACACGTAAAGGTCTAGATATTTATTTATTTTGTTGCACAAGGTAACAAATTATTATTTTGTGCAGCAAAAAAAAAAAAAAAAGAAGACTCAATTGCTGCAGGTCTAATCAGCACCATAAGTCAAAACACCTGTGTGGGTGTGCAGAGCCTTTACTTTATGCATCATTTGTTAGTTGATCACATGTTTGGAAATAAATTCAAAGCAACTACAGCTGTTAAACCAACACATTGTAAAACTGATCTCAGAATTGTTGCAATAATTCCACTTGTTGATTCTTTCACAGTGCGTTTTATTTTGTAAGTGTATTATGTGCCATTTTTATCTAAAATTTTCATCTGAAAAGTAAGTTAAATAAATGTTGTGAAGTTAAAAGTACAGTATTTCCCACTGAAAAGCTGTAGAGCCGAAGAATAGCAAAAAATGGAAAAACTTAGTAAAGTACAAGTACCTTAAAACTGTACAAAAATACTTAGTTACTTTCCACCGCTGTGTGCTGTGTGGCAGTCTGTCCTCTCTGTCCTGATGAGAGGATGTCCATGTTTGAACCGGAGTCACTTTTTCCACCTCAGTGGTGAGCAGCCGACCACAAATGCAAACAGAAACCTTCAGGATCTGGTTTCCCACACTCACTCTTCTGTCTCCATGCTCAGAAATCATCACATCCATCTCATTCTCACTATAAATCAGTTTAATATCTGTTTTGGCAACTGCAGTTTTTGTAGAATCTCATGATTATTATTAGGAGCTTATTCCAACAAATGAAAAATTATAGTATGTCATTACAAGGTGCCTTCTCAGCAAAAAAAAAGTTTTATTGTATGAAAATGGGGGTTCTCAGGACGAAACAGAAACGTTTGTACATTGAGCTCTTTTTTGAATTTAAACCCCAGGGCCAGTAGCCAGGAGGGTGTTTGCTCAAACGACAAAAATCCATGAGGAAAACAAGACAGTATTATATGATCCTGCTTCTCTCGCTGGGCTACTGGAGGCCAGAGAGGTGAGATGTGAGCGTTCAACAAGGCAGCACTTGTTCTCCGAGCGGCTGTGTCCCCTCACTGTCCTCCATGTGGTTCCACCATTAAAACCCATAGATAGACAGATAAATACTTTATTACACACTCAAGGTCCAGATCTATAAATAAAAAAAGAGATTTAGGTTCTTCTTTTTAGGTTTTTATTTGTGATTTATGCACCAATCTGAAGAGCTGTGATCATCAGGGCCATGGGACTCGTACTCTTGTTGCATAGCTGCTCAGCTGGTCTCAAATATTATTTCCTCAAATATAAGAACAGTCCTCCTGACTGTGACTCTGCAGTCAATCAAAATGTCCCTATGTACAGGAGCTTTGGAAGGTGGAGGTCATCTGATGAGAATCTCACATAACTGATTTTTTACATTTGTTATAATTATTTAAACTTTTTAGATGGCTCAGAACTTATCAAAAACATTGCACACCCATATGACACTTGGTATAGAGTAAGTCCTTTTCTAAATTTGTGCCAATTACATGAAACGTTCTAAATGTGTATTGCACTATAAACATTTTTCTTATTGTTTACCTCATTTACTGTATGTTAATTTGCATGGAGTATTTTTATGGGACATTTTGTGCACTCATGATTATATAAATTAGCATTTGCTTTTTGAAAAATTAATTAAAACTGAAATTGAAATCTATTAAACCCAGTAGATTTTATTTTTTAAAAACCCTTCACATTACGATTTTTAAAACAAACTCTAAACCTTCAAACTCACATTTTTTCCCCTTCAGGACTAATTTGCCAGTCTGGAGCACAGGTGTTCAGCACACACACCTCCACTGTAGTGCTACACATCCATGTCAGACTGTTTAGTACCTAATTGTTTCTTTGCTGTAACCACAGTCAACCACAAACACCGCCCTCTCCCCACCTGTATTTACAACCATGAGCTGTGTGTCAGTCCCATTCAGGTCACATAATTATATGGTGGCTTATACAGAAATAAAAAAATGAAGAAAGGTTTGTTGTTGTGTCTCCTTCCCGCCTGCCGCAGGTATATTTTCAGGAACCCATCGTGGTCATGCCAGAGAGAAAACCCCACCCCTTGTCTTTGCTTGGATGCAAAGACCTTTCTTTCACTGTTTGCAGGAAACTAAAATAGCAGCACGTTCTCCGTGTACTAGCAACACAGGAAAATATACTGTTTGTAATCTACTGGACATCCCAGAACCAAAATTAAGTTGCTGAAAGCAAAGAAAGAGGTCCTTTTGAAGAAATAATAAATGTAACTGACTCACAGGTTTTTATGACTCAAGCTTAAAGAAAACTGGATTAAACTGCTGTTCTTAGACGGGTTTCCCTTATAAATCCCTTTGATAAATAGTTACTGTCGACTTTAAATGGAAAACTTTATTTTTAAAACCATAAATCAAATGTTTACAATTTGCTTAAACCTACAATAACCGATTCCCTTTAGACCACAACAAAAACAAGTTGTGTCCACTGTGCTCACAGCTAGCGTCGTCTGCTGTCTGGTGCTAAGCGGGTTGGTTTGTTGCTGAAAAAAGCTGCCTGCTGCAGCTGAATGCAGCACAACAGCTAAAACAATGAGTTGAAATTCATTCTAAACCTCTGTAAAGCTGAGGGGATATAGATTTATGTGCTAACTAGTAGTTTGGCTTTGCCAGCAGGTGCCACTCTTAGTTAATCATCACCCCCTTTCTCATTATTTTCACACTGTCATTTGATACACTGTTGTTATAAAAACATTCATTTTAGCTGCTTTAATCATGAGCTGATCATAAATCTAACCTGAGAAGTACATTCCTTTTCATTAGGGATATATCCCATTTGTAGATCATTTCTCTCAGTGCTGAGCTGTTGGCACACTCCCCTCATTGTTTTGTGATTTGATGTTAGCACA